TACACTAGTAAAAACTGACTAAATCTAGCTAGCTCGTTGCATATATCTGAATGAAAGTGCATGTCTATGGGAGGGATATAAGGAGGAGGCAAAAAAGAAGTAGCCAAATAGCAATAGCAGTAGACTTATATACCACTTCATAGGGCTTTCAGCCCTCTCTAAGCGGTTTACAGAGAGTCAGCATATTGCCCCCAACAATNTTGACTCCAAGATATTTGACTTTTTTGACCACCTCACATCCTAACGTCCCTCCTAGTTCTTCCTTTTGTTTAGTATTCATATTTATAGCTAATATTTTCTTTTTAAAAAACTATAACATATATTAAAAAGATTAGAAAATAAAACATCACTAATACTAAGAATATTTGTAAGTAACTAAGCTGTATAAATTTGGTAAAATGTACAGGAAAATTTTTACAACCCCAAAACGCCAAATTTTAAAGGGAGACATTCCTTTATATAGAAATCATACCAAATTCAGGAATAGTCATTTGTGTTTTCAGCCTTAAAACTACTAGAAAATGTGATAACATTTTGCCAGGGTCTACGGAAAGGAAGTTCCAGTTTTTTGAGGTAAAGTTTGTGTATTTATTATTAAGCATATTTCATTTATTTATTTAATTAAATTTATATGAGGTCCATCTTTAAAGGTCTCTGACAATAGAACATAAAATGGTACAGTAATTAAAAGAAAAACTAAACAAGAAATAGCAATGTAGCATATACACAACACAAATATAGTTAGGCAAGGAAAAGTTAAGGAGAACCTTCACAGCAGATTTCACAAGGAGGTTTTTCCAGGACAGTGATGGCAAACCTTTTGTGTTCAGCATGTCAAAAATTAGGAAAATACCTAACTTTACCCTACTAACATGTCACATACACATCCCCCAAACAAAAGAGAAGCAATTATCTTATCTCCCCTGCCTCCCCATATCTAGGCCATCTTGAATAGAGGCCTGGGTCTCAACTTCCACCCTAATGCCGCTGCTGCCACTCAAAAAGGCTACTTGTGCTATTCTCCAAGGCACAATTGCCCCTATAGCAGCGCTTCCCAGAAACTGTGCAGCCAGAGGCAGTGCTCTTTTTTTCTTTTGACAGGCTTCTGCAGCTTTCCCGAGTTTGCTCCAGATTGTATGAGGCCTTTGTTCTTGAAGTGGCTTTGAAGAATGCTGTTCGCAGCCTCTGGAAGCTCTTTAGAAGCTCCAGAAGTCATGCAAGAGCACAGTCCTCTTGTGTGATTTCAAAGGTCATACAAGAGCACACCCTATTTTGTGCAGCTCTGTAGCCTCTAAAAATCACACAAGAAAAGTGCATGGTTTCAAGATGTCAGTTGAACAATGGTGTGCCACCTAGAACATTGTGGTGAGTTACCTTTGACATGTGTCTCATAGGTTTGCCATCACTGATCTAGGAGGATACAAAGTTTCTTCAGAGGCACATTTTTTTGCACTTTAATTTAGTCTTCCTTTGCTCTCTAGTTTTAGATTTTGGTATTTCTGTGATATGGTCAGGTCTTAACTTTGGTTTCATTTAGCTAGCAGGAATTTGGTTGCTTCACAGTGTTAATATTGCATAAACTGAAATTATCAGTACATGCTGGGCATTCTTACATTGTAGGCTTGCTCCTCCTCCATGTTTTCCTAGAAAAATATTTACAGTGCTATACTTACTGTACTATAATTTTGATGGGTGAGAAAGTCTGGGCAGTGGTTAAATGCAGCACTGCAGGCTACTTCAGCTGACTGCAGTTCTGCAGTTCGGCTGTTCAAATCTCACCGGCTCAGGGTTGAC